TTCCAGCTTTTCAAGCATGTCAAGTGACACATGGGCACCAGTCCCCATGTACTTACACCTCACGCCTATCGTAATCAAAAACGTGGGACAGAGCTTGCCATCGCGGTCCACTGAAACTGAACACGGAGCAATAGGTACTTGAATAATGGCGGAATATGAGAATATACTAACTTCGCCGCGCCCATAGTGACCGGCCGCGCGCGAAGAAGAGGTATAGCCTCCGCGCTGTGGCAGCGACCTTCGTGATTAGGAGACTTGGTCGTCTCTTTCTAACACCGAATAATCCCTACGGATCCCCGCACTTCTCGGGCAAGCTACAGCCTACAAACATTTTGATAGGTGAACGTTCAAATACGAAGTGGTATTCTTGAAACGCTACAACGTTAAAGGATCGCATCGTAGAACTCGTTCCCGGGCTTCATACAAACCGCAACAATCTCGAAAAAAATCGGACAGCAAGTATAATTAGCTTGTTAGGGGTTAGGTGAAATTATAAAGCGTAGCCAAGTGAAAAATCAAAATGCCGGTACCGGTGAACGGAGGGAAACAAGTCGTAAAACGCTTATCGCCAAACCATCAGGGGTCTATCCCTCACGTAGTGGCTGGAACGTCACGTTAATGCCTATTTCACCGCTACGCTACCATTCGCAGCAAAGTAAACAAAAAAGCAAAGTCAACAGAATCACGTGAGAACTTTGCTGGCTGCGAAATCTTTCGGAAACCTACAAAGCTCAATGTCAACAATAGCTGGAGTTACGAATTCCAGGTCTCAACTGAAGGGTTAGAAATATGACTAGGGATGAAGCTTCAGTGAACACAAGTTCCTGGCAGTCATTGCTGCTGTGAACAAGAAAAGAGACTTGCGTCGCGCAACACATCTGTTCCGATATCTCATTTATTTCCCGTTGTTGCGCAGTCTGCTGGATGAACCACTAACACTGCTCTGACGAAAAACTTGGAACCAGGGTCAACCCTGCGTTGCGCAAATTCCAAAATTTTTACGACCCCCTTCCTTTTCGGGGGTATCGGTACGACCCCCCATATTAACTATTATGTCTTTCACATAATTTAATGCTCATCATTGATGTGATGGCAGTCACCAACATGGAGAAGTGGTGGACCGTGGTCAATCCGCGCGCTCTGTCT